TCTTCCTTATTTTTACTTTCGCATTTCAGACTCGATATTGGGTTGGGTTTAGGGTTACTCGCTAACGTTCCGAGTTCTTGAAATTTGGACCGTTACAGGGTAGCTCCAAGAAGGAATGTTGTTCCCCTTCTCCTTCTCTTCATTTTGATGGTTCAAGTTTTCAACTTGGGACAGTTTCAAGGCTTGGAGCAAGCTAGGGTTTTGTATCCTTAAGGTAGGGGTTGTCTAATATGTGTAATTCTAGGTTGTTGCAAAACTTGTAATCAATTTCTTGTTCCCGCTTTGAAAGTATGCTTATTATGGTGTAATTTAAGGAATTTGTATTCTAGGGTTTCAAGCATGATTTTTAGTTGTTTAATTTTTGCTTGAATGGAAATTAATGCAACTTTATGTATTAAAGCATGATGATTATGTGTTAAGTGTACTAATTTGGAAGAATGGATATCTTATGTGTATATTGTGTATTATATGTGGTTTAAGTGAGGCAAATGTTGAGTATTGTGAACTAAACCTTGTCAAATATGCTAATTATATGATAAAATGCTTATATGAACCTATCTCTTGCAATGAAGTTGAATGGTATATGGTTTGGTTGTTTATATGAACTTCTTGATGATCCATGAGCAAAAGCATGCCTAGCGTTCTAATTGTAATTGTCTATTGAAGATGAAATGCGTTGTTACTCTAAAATTGTTGTAATGCATCTTCATGACATTACCATGGCATGGTGTTGGTGTGGAATAGTGTGTGGGAAGTCCTGGGTGGAAATGGGTTTTTGTAAAGTTTATGGAGTAAAGGTTTTTCTTAAAACCGGTATTGGGGAGGTACCCCTTTAATGGCGGCGCTAATTAGCTATAAGGACGGAAGGAGGTACCCGAAGTTCGATTAATTAGTACCTTTTTGGCGTGGGTGCGTTGGAGTCGGTTGTGTGTGTGTGGTGTGGATGCATAATGCATGGCATTCGTTTCATATTTGGAGCTTGTTTATGTGCTTGATGGTTGATTAGTGATTAAAATCCCTTACGTGACCCCTTTTCATCTTACTATGCTGCTATGTGCTATGTGTCATGCTTTCTCGACTTGAGGAAATGCTTTTTAGGCATTATTTACTAAGTGGTGGTACTCACCCCTTTATCTTAAATATTTTAGGATTCGAAAGGGAGGGACGAAGTGGATGATACACCTCCACAAATGTAGGCGTTGTTAGGAAGTGCAGTATGACGCCCTTTGAAATCTACACTATTTGGTTTGTTAAGTTTTGGGTATAAACATATAGTATTTTGTATTTATTCCAATGGTAATGTAAAGGTATTGATTTGGTTATGTACATTTATCAAACTTGCCTTAATTTAGATACGATGATGTAATATGGATCAATTATGATGTATGGACATTGTTTTGTCAATGTATTTATGTGTGTGGATGTTTTGGGACAGATTTTGAGTTGTATGAATGTGCTCGTGATCATAATGGCAAGGTAGGAACAAACAAAAGCTCTATTGGGAGCCCATGTCCATTTTATAGGTTCAGTCCGATCAATCAGATTTCAATCCAATCAATCGGATTTTTTAATACTTAGAAAAATTTCAAAAGATGCCAGAATCTGCTCTCGGTCCGATCAAACGGATTTTTTCAGACTTAGAAAATTAGAGGTTGTCAAAATCGCCCGAATTGACCAAACTTCAAACATTCATAACTTGGTTATTTCTAACCCAAATTAAGCAATTCTTGAGTCTAAATTGGTTCATTTTGAGCCACCTTCCATTAGCATTAACCTCATTTTATTTTAACTTGAAATGACTATTTTACATCTCGTGAGCCTAGGGTTCCGGCATGAACCCGAAGTCGGAGTTACCATTCTTTAATGATCCAATATGGTTATAAATGACTAGTATGATTTCAATATGACTCTTAGATCATAGTAAGGTGCATAATGACCGTTTTAGCCTCAGTTAACCCGGGTTCGGGTCGTTACAGTAAAACTTGCACTTAAGCAAAGTAAAATGGTAATTGCAATAATGTAAAACTTGCACTTCAATAAAGTAAAACTTGCACTTCAATAAAGTACAACTTCAATACACTCAAGTATTGCACGAACATGCTTCCAATCAAAACAAATTCAACATATTTATGATAGAAAACATTATGCATCAGGTCATATATACAACAAGAGTTATTAGACAAAAAAAATAATACAGAGCATGATATCATCGTCAAGGTGTGTCAAGCTTCATCAAATGAGTCTTGTCTCATATCTGAAATGAGAAATAGAGTGAGAGAAGAAGAGACCCAAATAGCAAACATATAGAGCGAGAAAGAGAGATTAGAAATAGAATGGAAAAATTCTTATCTGAAATAGGTCTTTGTTTTAAGATTCTTGAGCAGAGAGAAAAAGAGAAAGTATAGAGAGAAATGAGGGTTCGAAATGTGACTTGTCTAAAATGGGTATCTCAGAACAGAAATGTGCCCTAATTATGCAAATGGTGAGAAAGAGAAGTAAATTTCAGATTGGTAATGGTTAGAGAGATAAGATGGAAAGAAAAGTAAGGGTAGTTTAGTAAATTCCATAAAGTACTTAAGGGTAATTTGGTCTCCATGTATTTATGAACAGTAAAAATTGACAGATTTGTAATTACTTTTGCTTAAAGTGTTTTTTGATGGGTTTATTTTTTGAGTGTTTACATTCAAGTAAATAAAGCTTGCTAAAGTGTTTTTATTAAATTAACCATAAATAAAATAGACAAATAAACAATTACACAATTAACAATTAAATAGACACAAATAAATAAATAAATCAAATAAAATAATTAAATTAAATAAAATAAATAATACATTGCATTGTATCTAATGGAACCATTTGCGCCTCTAAAATACCATTAAGTTCTTGAAATTGTTCAGCTTGAAAAAGCCAACCTTGAGGATCAGTACTGTTAAATTTTGAAAAATCGATTCGAAGAGTTCGACCTTGAATAATTGGACCAACTCGCTGATCATCATCGCCGTCACGGTGAAGCAGTTGATCAAGGTTGTCGCCATAAAGGGGTACTCGGTCAGCGCGTTGGGGAGGAACGGGAATATGTTATGTTGCGAGTCTATCTGTTAGAGTCTGCAATGCTGCATGAAGTTGCTAAAAACTTGCTTGATTATCACGCACCATCGTGTCCATCTAAGTAGTAAGGGCGGCAACTTGTTCTTCAAGTTCCTTGACCGTTATTATGAGAATACTACTGGAATCGTAGATAAGAAAAAAAAAAAAATAATAGAAATTTTTTTTGGGCAATCTCAGATCGAATGCTTTAATACAAAATGTTAGGGTTCTAAAACCCTAAATTGATTTTTTGATTGGAAATCAGCTACAAAAAAAATCCTTTGAAGCGGGGATTAACCACCAAAATTCTCAACTCTTCATTTATAACTCTAATTCTATTACATTCGCTTTATTATATAAGAAAATAAGGAATTAATAGACTTCCTAAGCAAGAAATAACAATTGAAAAAACAGATTGCCTAATATAAATTTAAAATAATATTGGTTTCCTAACAAAGGGAGAAGTGATGGTTGTCCAACAGATTACGAGGTGGTCTTAACGGAGAAGAAAGTCCAGGAGAAAAACATACCCGGTGCTGATTTGTCTTCTGGTCAATATTGAGTTATATTTTTGCTGACGTCTCTTTCTATGATTGGTCTGGACCATATATGAAGTGGTGGTCCCGAACTACTTATTAATTTTTTTTAGGGTAAAGTACAACTACACCCCTTGAGATTTTGGTAAAAGGACACTCAAATGAAACTTACCTGTTTTTTGGACAAAGACACCCCCTGAAAGTTAAAAAATGGACAAAGACACCCCTTTACATGAGAAATTGACCAAATTACCCTTTGATCGTTTATGAGACTTTTTTAACTTTACAATTTAATAAATTGAACCAATCTACTCTCATAAACAATTTATGCATAAAAAAAAGTAACCAAAAAAAATAAAAAGACTTTATATTGTTCACTTTTTTTATTTTTTTAACTTTATAAATGTCCCAACTTCTTAAAAATGTAGACGTCTAAAATAATTATTTGATCCAATACATATATTTCAAATAAATTATATTCTGTTATTACTTTTTTTTTTCTTTTTCTTTTTTATTTTTAAATTAAGATGCTTAATTCTTTCATTTAAAAAAATTAAACCAATTTATTTTCCTTAAAAATAAAAAATATGGTACCAGTATAACTTTATGCATCTTAAATTATATATAAAATATTATGCATTTTACAACATAAAAAGGAAAAAAAAAAAAAAAACAAAGGGAAAAAAAATAATAAAACAAAGGGAAAAAAAACAAAACAAAACAAAGGCATGCATAAAGTTAAGATGCATAAAGTTATACTGGTACCTATTTTCTTTTTATATTGGGAAATGCATAATATTTGATATATAATTTAATATGCATAAAGTTATACTGGTACTATATTTTTTATTTTGAAGGAAAATAGATTGATTTAATTTTTTTAGATAAAAGGATTACACATCTTAATTTAAAAATGAAAAAGAAAAAGAAAAGAAGTAATAACAAAATATAATTTATTTAAAATATATGTATTGAATAAAAAAATCATTTTAGACATTTACACTTTTAAGAAGTTGGGACATTTATAAAGTAAATAATAATAAAAAAAGGTGAATAATATAAAGTTTTTTTTTTAATTTTTTTTTATTCATAAATTATTCATGAGGTAGATTGGTCTAATTTATTAAATTGTAAAGTTAAAAAAGTGTTCTAAACGATTAAAGGATAATTTGGTTAATTTTTTAGGTAAAGAGTATCCTTGTTCATTTTTTAACTTTCAAGAGTATCTTTGTCAAAAAATCAAGTAAATTTTCTGTACTTGTCCTTTTGCCAACCTCACGTAGTTTACCCATTTTTTTGTTTTCCATAATATAGAAATCAACTGATCAATAAAATGTTGGATATTTTATAATTTATTTTCAAAAACGGAGACAGAAACCGAAGAACCCCTGTAACAAATAACGAAATCAGAGAAAATAGAGCCGGTGGTGAGACCAAAAAGCATTTCCGAAGAAGATGATGTCCATGCCACTTCGGTAATATTCTATAACCCGAAAATCAATAATTTCACAATCGCTATTTCAATCATGTACACTATATTTTGTATGAATATATACTTCGCAATATCGACTCCCGTAAAACATTGTGGTCGAATATATGCTTGGTAGTTAATTGGGAAAATTACGAGCAAGATAGTTATGAATTATTTAAATTACTGAAAAAAAACGAAAAGGAGAATTCTTTCGTTAGCTCGTTAATATAGCAAATTTTGGGACCGTAAGGTGCATTTTGATTCCACAGTTGAGTATATAAATGAAGTTATCCAATTTTTTTTGCCCATTGTTTTACCAGTGATTCCTAATAATTCTTCTGCTGTGAATTGATTTCAGTTAATTATTATATTTTATTTTATTTTATTTTGTTAAATGAAAAGCTTTGTTGGATGATTGTGGTTTCTAGCTGGGTAGCTCAATATTAATTTTTTGAAATTGAACTGTTGACTCTTTGTTGGGGTGAATTCTACTATGGTTGCTTGCTTATATGCATGCTCTAATGCAAGATATAGATGGGTTGAGGTAGAGATTTTTATGTATAGCAGTTTATATTTTGCAGTTTTATATATAGTCCACCACTGTCATTGTATTTTTATATTCTGTAGTCCAGTGGAGTCAATATTTATTTTATTTTTGGGTTGCCATTAGACCTTTTTTTTTTCCTTTTTTTCTTTCTTACAATTGGCAGTCTTGGGAGAGTTATCATTGCTTTTCATTAGGTGGTAAATACACATCCTGAGCGAAGAACCGTTCCAACATTACAAGAAATGAACCTGCCCATCTGTACTCTCAACTCATTGGGTTTATTGATTGTTTTCTCCTAGTCATAGATGCTGGTCAAATTTGAAAAAATAAAAAGGGATCTAATTTTTCTTAATTTAATCATTAAACCGCTGAGGAGAGCCAACAATCTCAACAAGTTTGAAAGGATGTCCATGTCCATGCTTGGGTCAGTTTCTGTTAAGTTAAGGTCTGACTAAGTTGATAGATACATCAGTGATTATCATATCTGTATGAAACATAAAATCAATAGAGACTTGTTCCCCCTTTTGAATATAAATCCAGCTCTCTGAAACTCTAGAAGGCTTGACTGTAATTATAGAGTGTATGTCCAGCCATAAAGTTTTATATTCAAAATCATTCTCCATTCTAGTTGTGGTACATCTATTTCTGATATGTGTAGAGGGATAATAGATAAAGATGTGGCGTGTTTTGGTCCATCCAAAATGACGTGGTTATATTGCTAGAAGGTTTACAACTTTGAAACAATTTATTCCTTGATGAAAGTTTGAGACTACTCTATGTGAAGAAAAAATTACTAACTTGCTACTAATTCATACAAAAGTTTATGAACTAGTAGTAGTAGTAGCAATTTCATATTCATGGAAGTTCTAATAGAAGTTTTCTTTTTCAAGAATAAGACAGCATAAAATATAATGGGCCAAATCTAACAAGTAAGATTTGTCTCAGTTACTTGTAACCGGTTCGTCCATACAAACTAGAGTGACAACTTTTCCATGGGAAGTCTGTGGCATATCTTAAAAAGTTGTGGAAGTATCTAATGGAAAAGGAGTCGTAGCCAGCTGTTACTTCTCCTTCCAAAACCAAAGGAGAGTTGTGTTAGTATGCGGATGAAAGTTGTTGCTTGTTAAAGGAAGCAATAAGTATTCTAGAAATGTTTTGTGCTGAAGAAGATAAATATCGAGGACTTGGCAGTTATGTTACATGGACTCGGGTACGGGTGTCGGACACGGGTTTGTATCCATGTGTCGGACGTGTTAAATCTCCAAACAGAAGGACACACGGACACGGCTAAATATTTATTTTATTAATTATTTTATTTTATTTTCTAGAGTAAAGTAATGTTTTTATCTAATATAATGTTCAATATAGGCATTTAACTCATTTTAAAGTAATAAGATAATGTAATTGAATGATTGATTATGCTTTTTAAGTACATGTCCAACCAAAAGTATTGGACACATATCCCATACTCATGTCCGAGAGATACGTGTCTGACACGGGTACTTCATTACTTATGAAGAGCCCATGTATTAGAGCTTGGCAGAACTATAAGTTACTCCTGTAGGGGTAGTATTAATGAAAGTGGAAAGTGTCTGCTTCAAGACAGGAAACAAAGATGGGGTGATTGGTATTCCTATCTATGCATGCTTAGAAGGAGATAATAAGAGGTGTACAAGAGGTAAGTTCCATCTATGTCTATCAGCAAGTTGTGAGAATGTTACAACTGAGGCTGGAGCTAGTTCATTTCAGGAGCTTATGAATTTCAAGTGTTCATTCCGTTTTCTCTATTTGCTGGAAATACTGATCTAAATTGGCAAAAATTACAGCCTGTAAAAAACTGCTATTATTATTTGGTGATTATGGCTTTTTCTTTCTTTCTCTCTCCCTCTTTCTCTGTTTATGTCTCTGTCTCTCTCTTTTTTCTTTTTTCCTTTTTGGGTGGTGGGGATTTCCACTTTTATACAGAACACATATATCAGTTGTTTCTCCTGATGAGGTGATAGGAATTTGCTGGTTTTGTAAAAAAACTTTGACGATCAACAACATTGTCCAGAAGTCCATTAGATGTTATTCCGAATGATCAAGAAGTTCTGGGAGTTACTAAGGAAGCTTCGAGCTTATAGTGGTCATTGGTTGAGAACGGAAATTAAATTCTATGAGATCTAATCTCCCATTGTTCCTCAGTAGCTCAATGTAGAGTGGTCGGCTGCTAACTGACTGGTCGTAGGTTCGAATCCTACTTGGGGAGATTTGATTCATTCTGAACTCTTTAATTCGGTTTCAGTCTGCAACTTGGCCATTACATAATGTATGATATTTAGATGACAGGTCTAGGAAGATTTTGGTATAATTCTTTCCAATAGCTTGAATGCTTCCTATAAGCCTTTGTCAATTGCCTTTCCATTTATCATATATACTGTTTTAGCGCGAGTAATGAATAATCATTTATTTTTTTAATACAGTCATTGCCTTTCCATTTGTCAGTAATTTGTATCAAAGGTAGAGGCCATTCTATACAATAATGCCAAAAATTAGGTATTTACTCAGTCGTCCTGCCAGCATCCTCAATTAAATGGGGATTGGGGACCGGCACTGGAAAATTGTTTTTTTAATTTATCTCAATGGTACAATATTGCAATTCTGCAAAGTTTATACGAAAGATCTCTGAATATCTAGAAACTGACTAGTTATCTACTTAATTTTATGTTGTCGTGACAGGTTTTGTCATAATAAAAGAAGGAAAAGTGAAACACATGTGAAGCTCAAGCAATCAGTTTCAGTGCTACCTCCTGAATTAAATGATTGTTCTACTTACTCTTCATAATGGAATACTAGATTGCTGGCCACTTCAATCTCAATTATCCGGTTGACTTACTGTTTAACTCGTGGATCTTATTTATGACAGATTATATCCCTTTTCCCAGGTTGTCGGTGTTAGATATCTAACCGTTTGTCTTGGTTCACCTTTACAGATGGTTTTGATCATCCAATCAGTTTAGGGGTAAATATCCAAGAGCTGATTGATTGCCAAGAGCTGGAGGAAAAAAGAGAAAGATATGGAATCTTCTAATTTAAAAAACACAATGAGTCTCAGGGTGAAGGGTAAATAGCCAGGTGGAGTAGAAATATCTAATCCTGATTATGATTTTTCTTTATCATGATAAATGACCCCACTCATTGTTTGCTATATATTGCCTGTTGTCTTTGTGCCTCGATATTTCTTCTGGTTCTGAAATCCTGTTCTGTGGGAGATTCATTTACAGGAGCTTTTGTTGCTAATTACTTCTTTGATCTTTCTTGCATGTACTTTTTTATTTTATTTTTTAAAAATAAATTTCTAACCCATGAGGCATGCATCTTCTGGTGTACAGGTATGTCTTATATGATTCTCATCATTTCCGTTATCTGTATTGTTTTTCTTCTTCCACACTTAACTATTTTCTGGCATTATGTGCGGTAAATTCTTCACGAGTATTTGATTCAATCCACATGGCACTTGCCTATTGTATTTCGAAATCCATATGATTTGTGCTTGTCATTTTCTGTCACCAATAGAAGAAACTTCACAACTTGATCCTTGTATATTATGTAGTGGCTGTAAAATCCAAATCTATTTAAATGGTTTTGTTTCTTATTGCACATCTAGCAATTAAGCGTGTATATCTATCTGACAATAGGACAGTTCACCATAGCAGGGAAGGCTTCCCTATACTTTACCATCAAACTTTTAGCTAATAAGAATGTTTTTGACTCTCATGCAAACAGAATCCATGTAATTCTAATGAAAAGAATTCCTATAAAACTAGTATTGCTGAAATATGCATTCCTTACCTCACTAGCTAATGGTGTGAAAGGGGTCAGGAAGTCGCACTGACCACACAATTAAATACACCACAATTTACCTAACTAAACTTAACATGAATTGTAGTCAGTTTGAATCCCGTTGCTTGATGGATTTCCAATCTGTAGACAATCAATTGGAGGGGTTGTAGGGCCGTTCAACTCACCAAATGTCTCCCAACAGAAGGGATCATACATGTGGTATTGTTCTTCCAGTGGTTCAAGTTCTATAGCAGTTAGTGATACCTCCGTGCATGGCAGGCTGTCACTACATGCAAAATGTACGGGTTTTACTGTGTATGTTCCTCTTATCTTCTCATAGGTGACTCCTGATACAGCCACGGCGGATGTTTGATTTTTGCAATTTCTTTTGTCACAATAGAATTGGTCAATTATGATCGGAATTTGTACTTCAGAAACTTGAATGTTTGAGAACAGGACCCCTTTCACGGACCCTGACCCACCCTGCAGAAATAACATTTGGAGCTAGGTAAGAATGTTCAAATCTTGCATATGTTGAATGAACTCAGAAATTCTGCGTTAGTTTAGTTACGACGTCATACCATGTCCTAGTTGAAATCCAAACTTCACAATCACAGGATTTTCAAATTTCTTTGTATTTAGTTAAATCATTGAAATCATGCATGTAAGAGGTCGAAATGAAACTGGTTGAAATTATGGAGAGAAAAATATTTCCTCAAGGGCTTGAAATCAATACGAAATGTTGAAACGCCTTTGAAAGTTATAACCTCCACATTGACTCAAAACTTGTGGAGTAGCTTTTCTAGTTTAGTAATTTTAGTAGCCAACTAAGAAGGAATTACTTGGTTATGAATGTTATTGGTTCAATACTGAGTTCTCCAATCGACTAACTGGAGTCTTGATTGCTTTAGTTTTAACTGAGTTATCAATCGGATTGAAGTGCAGATGGTATCCATACCTGCCATGTCTTTATCCTGACTCCATTCAATGTGTTATGCATATTGATATCTCGAACAGTGATATTTGAGACACAGGCTCTGGTGTCGTCCTTTCCTAACCCTCCAATGCTGATTCCATGCCCAGGACCACAGTTCACATTGTGTATGTACACGTTTGTGCATCCAGTTTGTATAGAAACACAGTCATCTCCTGCACATAGCATTAAAATAAAGGAAAAATGAAAAAGAAATAGAAATAGAAAAGAAAAGATTTGTGAACTTCTTTTAATGTGTGTTTATGTCATACTTGGATTGATTTCATGTATGTCTGGAGCTGTTTTAGACTCTTGGCCTCGTAGAGGAATAAATGGTGAAAAGCAGTGTTCTAGTTTCTGAAGAAGAAGAAAGAATAAGTCAAAGAATATGACAAATGGAAAGTGTCCCCCTGTTTGTGGGCCACAAAACCTGATCACATATTGGATTGTGCTGCTACGATTCAGGGAATGACACCTATCTATTAACCGAGGTCATAAAAATTAAGGTTAATAAGAGTGGTTGCCATGTGTCAAAATTGTGGTGGTTGGACTTCCAAGGGTGTGAATGGTATCGGATGACAAGCAAGATAAGATTGTTGTGTAAAGTATCAGGATTTTGCCTAAGATATCTCAACAATGTGAAGTTTTTGTCATTCAGTAATACATCATCCTTCACTAGGCATTATGGTGGAGTCTGTTACCTTGAGAAATTTTTAGATGGTCGGGCCATGTGATCCCGGCCAATCACTAGTTGACATGCAAGCAAAAAGATGAATAAATCTGCCACATTTACTTGTGTGTCAGCTAGTGATTGGCCGGGACCACATGGTCCTCGACCATGTAATAATTTCTACTGTTACCTCAACACTCAATACTTGTAGGTCTTAGTCTTAAGAGGCATGAGCAACGTGGCTTGGCTAGTGGTCCACCACTGTCGAAATGATTAGCATGATAAAGTTAACCGTATACAAGCAATGTAATTACCACAAGCAAGATTGGCACTATGGATTAGCACATCTTGAGAGTTCTGTAAATGAATTCCGTCTGTATTGGGGCTGTCACCAGGAGATGATACACTCATATTGTATACCAGAACTCCTGCGCAATTGTCAAACTTGAGATGGCATTGGGGACTGTTTTGAATTGTTATGCCAGTGACTGTCACGTTAAAACTCCCGTAGAACCTCAGTGCCTGCTTAGCAAAAGTACAATTACCATGTCACGTATATGGCATGATAAAGAAATGCACTTAGAATTCTGGTAGTTGTCTAGTGGTCCTTACAGTTGGTTTTGTGCTTGGCATTTTCTCACCAAGTGAGCTGCTTATCTGCCACAAGTTTTTTGTTTTCAGGAAAATTAACACATTGAATCTTAGGTAATAAAGAAATGATTGATAGGAGCAAATAATAATTACCGAAGTTTGTGGGTTCTCTTCCACTGTGTTGTTCAATGGGACAACTAGTTTTGTTTCATCGTCTAGGGGATCATCATATGGGGAATTCTGCCACCAGACTGAGCCTCTTCCATCAATCATGCCATTTCCCTTAACTGTGATCCCTGCTAGTTTTGTAAATTGAAGCCATTGTAGAAGACCTGAACCCCAAGGCTTAGAGCTTGTTGGAGCAATGATTGTGCCATCAAGCTGCATAATAAACAAGGTTTGAAGCCCCAAAAAATGTACTAGTTTTTCATCTACAGTTTCTATGACACACAATCAGAAGATTATTGAACTTGTGACCCATGCGTAAGATCACAGTTACTATCCTTGTGATAGTTTTCGGCTTAGTAATTGTTGGAGCAATCACAAAGGTATCAGTATTTGACTTGATACCTGGCCAGATATTACCTGCAGTGACAGAGGCCTCGTGCACTGGGCTAGCGCTACCTGGCCAGATACGACATTTTTACCTATAATTTTAACTACTACAGGAATTTATCAAAATTACCTGGAAAACAATGTTTGGTTGACAGTATGGACCAGAGAATGATATCGGTCCCACAAGGAACATGAATTCTGATGGAACGATGATCATTGATGCCTCCACTTTACAAGCAGCGGCCCATGCATCCTGAAATGCCTGCATTACACCATAAAAATACAGTTTTCTTAGTTATTAGTTATATGTGTATATGCTCTGTTTTTCACACAGCTGGGTACATTTTTGCTTATCTTGTAATCATACAGTTGTTAGTTTATACAGAACTGTATACAATCATTGATTGATTCTTGACCAAACTGCCGTAGCAGGAGTAATTTGAGTGGGCCCTCCTGTTTTCATTGTTCATTACTCTGGAAGGTATGTTGTCTTTCACTATATTATATATGGTTTCGTTTTATTACATTGTATGATGATTCTACATATATTATATTTGTTGAATACTAATACAGCAGTGATATATGACAATTTTTTACCTTTTTGTTGTCAACTTATGAAATTATTATTTTATTTTTTTGATTTTTTCAATTTGCTCATTTTTGCTAATTAATAATTTCATAAGTTAAACTTATGAAATTATTAATTAGCAAAAATGAGCAAATTATGAAATTATTAATTAGCAAAAATGAGCAAATTGACTATGATGACCTTTTAATAACCAAGGCAACCTAGATTTCTGCTGAAGTGGAAATATTACAAAAAGACAAAACTACCCTTCATCTTAATCTTACTTGCATTACGTGTCACTGTAATGGAGTTATAATTATGTAGCCAGAGACAAAGTTACTAATGTAGGCAGTGAGCAAGTAGCCACTCCTTTGCTACTAATTGCTGCATTATGAATTCGTGCTTGTGTTTTGAGCCTTCTACCTTCAACATTCATGTGCAAACGAAAGCATAAAATTGCAGGGATGAAAATAAGAACTTGGACTGTAAATTCAATTTGTTTTACTTGCATAGTGTTTATGAATTCTCAAAGAAAATCTGACTAGTTTGTGAACATTAACAGTTATTCGGAATTACCTTTGTATCATCAGTAGTGCCATCGCCCTTGGCACCAAAATCTAATACATTGAATGCGGTAGAGGCCCCAGAATCATCTTTCTTGGGCGGGGTTGATGGTATACCTACTTTTGGTCCAGGAGCCAGAGGTGGTGGTGCTTTTGGAGATGGAGTTTTCTTTTTAACTTTACCACCATTGCTTTGGTGGTGACTACTGCCATGGTACTTTCCTTTCTTCTTGAACAAAGAAGCCGAGGCGCTCCTACTTTGCCTCCAATGTTTGCCTCTTCTGGCATCACATGAATTAATATTAGATGACCAAACAAGAAATGCAATGAGAAGCATAAATGTGAAGCTTCTGAAATTAAAAAAACTCATGTTGTAGGTGCATGAGAGAGAGAGAGAGAGCTTAGATAGCCAATAGAAGAGATGTTAGGGTTTATATAGGGACCTAGGAAGAGCTCTCCAAAGGTAATGAGGCTGTATGCAAACGCTATCACATGCCATTTAATAATGCTAGGCATTTTAGCTTCATTCTCCCTACCCCTTTTCTCTTTTAATAATTATTTTCATTCTTCTAATTTGAAATTCGGTTGGAATTACTTTAGCTCAGCTAGAGGTCCCATTTTTGCCATGTGGCATCCTTTTGTGTGTGTGTGTGTGTGTTGCTGTTGCATGTGACCCATCCAACTGCTGGCAGCCTGGTGCAAACATTTCATCTATCATTATCGAGCTTAATCTTGGGAAGCCAATGTTACCAAACATGGAATAAAGGTAATTCTTTCTTCCAGCATATAATAGTTTACCATTTTATAATTATGGTAGTTTTTTTCTTTTTTGAGTGATTAATTTATTATTATTGGTTTTCTGTCAAGAGTTTTTCTTGTCATTGACAAATTATCCTGTGATATGCCATGTTTTTTTTGAATGAGTTAACAACAGGTTGCATGGAATGGGATTGCAGTTTTGAGTCATGCTTGTTTGAATGTAATCCTTTCTATACTTCCATTATTTGAGAGAGTTACATTGTCTGAAATTCTGAATATATATTCGTCATGCATGATTAAATATATAATATTGCAGTTATCCTCGTTTTAGTACCATTATCAAAATCAATATATATATATATATATAAATTTATAGTCACCCCGTTTGTATAGGATAAAGGCAAGGATGATGATGATGATTTTGATAATATATATGCGTAAAGTGGTTCATTTATAAATTATTTCATTTGATAATATTGTGAAGTAGTTATCATGCCATCTCCTTCTCTGCTTTTCTCTGGCTTTCTTCTGTGGTTTCAATATATCTGAACATTGTTAATATTTATTTTAGCAATTCGTGTAAAAGCCAGAGAGACACACGTGACTGGGTCCATAAGTTGCCAAAATCACTGACTATAACAACTCTTTATGATCACATGCAACATTCACGGGTAAGAGTTTTTGTACTTTGTCTTCTTAACCAGCAAAAACGGCCTCGGACCCTTAGCCACGATGTTCAAACTTACCCTTTTCTTCTCTCTTCTTTTCTTATATATATATATAAGCAAAAAAATTCAAGCATATAATCCAAGCTACATTAATTACATGAAGAAAATTATGTGAAAGAAACATGAATATGCCGACAGTTTTTCTGTTTTCTAATAAATACTTTATAATTTGTCTGAATATTAGAAGTCGAAATTATGATCATTTTCTGTAGAGGAGAAGGGGGGAGATTATTCCATGTGAGGTATGGTCTCAGTGAACGCCCCCAATATGGGATTTCCTCCATGTGCACAGCATCGTGGCGTGGACGGTAGAGAATCCGGATTCGTGAAACAGCAAGTGTAAAAATAATCACTTCTTTACGTCACATGATTAATAAGTCCTGTGTGGATTAAATAGCATTGGAATGAAATAAAACATTGGGGTAAATCATAGGGATTAGGATGGGACAAGCATTCTAGGGTTATTTTATAGGAGTTATTTTTATAGTTCTTTACTAAGGTCTTATGAGAAAATTAGAAGAGTTGGAAATTGATATTCCAATAGGATGAAGTTAAAATGTTGTTTATTCCTTAAAATTCTTTTTTTTTTTTTTTTAACCTTCATGCTCTACTTGTGAAAAGCAAATAACATGAAGATGATCTTTTATTGTTTAGGTATATTTAATCTTTTAAGTTCGTGATCTATCATTTCTTTTTAGCTATAGCCTCTAGATTATTGTCATGAATGCCCTAGAATCCCGCGAAAGTGATGGAAAATACTGTTGGAAAATTTCACGGAGGCCCAGTGATTTCTGTTTGTTTTCTTCCTTTGTAAATTCCCTCTGCAACAGGAGAATATATGCCTGCCATGTACTTGGCCATCACTATATTCAAGAAAATGCCACCAGTGACGGACACACCTCATTTTCATCACCCAACAAGATTATCTATTGAAAATTGACCTTTTTCATCAGTCCCTTTCCCTCGGAAAACCATTTCTCTCTCTCTGTCTCACACACACGCACACACACTCAAGTGCTGTTGTCTGGTAAGTTAATATAATAGGACTTCAGACCCTAGTTTGTACTTGGTTTTGGGGTTTCAATTTTCTCTAAATTGCTATTCCTTCCTATTATTGCCATGTCACTAACTGATATTGTGTTTGAAACTAATGTTTAGCGATATCTTCTTCACCTCTAAAAATTTGGACGGTTCAAGTTTTTAGGTAAATAAAGGTGTTTGAATACTCTATGGTAACAACACCGTATTGCATCATAGCAGACGACTGTGATCACATGCATGCGAGAGTGATCACACGTATAAACGATTGTAGCCGTTTCCTGCTGTCGACACTGTGCTGTGTACTGGATTCGTGCATGAATTATTCGTCAGTGATGACGTGTTTGACAATGCTTGGACGGCAAGTTCAAAGCTGAGGAACTTTGCCCATGGTTTTAATCATTGTCTTAATAATGGCATCTTGAAGGCTGTTATTGAATGTTAGGTGTATGTATATGTGTGTGTTATATATATATATATAATATTGTGTTTGGCCGCATTTCATAAACAAACAATCAATTTACTAACATATTATGAGCAGCACAGATATGCATATAGTCAGGATTGGGGTCAAATTTGTGGAAGCTCTGAAAGCTTGATTCTAATCAGTTTGATTTCAGAAGAGGAGCACCATACCCTAACCCTGCTCTCAATTGCCCATCTCTATCTTCTGTTTCCATGTCAATGTTGATTGCAGTTTAGGTCCCCCACCATATAATGCATGCGCATGACACAGGCCAATACTGTATACATTAGTCCAACTTCGATTTGAATTTTTTGAAGGGTATTATGGTCTATTCTGTACTTATTATGTTACCTTAATGGGAGGATGACGGTGTTATCTGATTTTCGTTAAAATGATTTATTATCGACTTTGCATGTCTCGATGTAAACTAAAATATGCTTATGAACATTAGAGCCGCTAAGCATAGTGGACTGTGTAAGCACAATTTTTCAATCTTGTTTCACAAATCTAAGAGCTATATTGTGCAATTGCGAAAAAAAAAGTGGCAACAAGATTAGAAATATTTGAATCAAATTAAGAAATGACAAAACTATTAAGAAGCTGCGACACAGTAACAAATGTTATTTTTGATAGTATCAAATTTGGCATTTTGAATTTGGAATCGGAGAAAGTTTAGTTAAAAATGATAATTTGAATTAGTTAATTAAAGCATTTTGAATTTTATTAAATGGCTCAGGTAGAATATTGTAAATTGCTGAATTGCCAGCCTCAAAAACTTGCCTGTCTTCACGAGCAAGCACGCGCGCACACACACATTATGCCACACACACTCACACACACATAAAATCCCTAGCTACTTGTCTTTAGCTTTGGGATTGGCTATGTGACCACCATCAATGAATGTGATTTAGACATTTGGAAAGAAGAGAGTGAGTAGGACCTTCTTAGCCGTCTTTTTGTGCGACATGCTCGTGAACATTGAATCCTCCCGTGAACCACTAAACTCCAATCATACACATGATTTGGGATCCTTTTGTTCCATTTCAGATTTGCCAAAAACTGCAACTGTGTGTGACCAACAAAGCCAATATTTCTCCCACACCTAGGGTTAATTACCAACACCTTTGGAAATATTGTGAGAATTCATTATAGGTGAATCATGGTTAACCGTCGAGCTTGTAATTCTTTTTTAAGGGCTTGATATTATTACACATCTCCATAAACTGACTGATTCGATCAGTTTATATCGATATTTACCCGAGTCTATTATATCACAATCGCGAGCGATAGCGATAGCGTGACTACGAATCATGTGAATCGTCAGGTGTCTCAAAACATCGAATAATCCATCATCGGGCACATATAGTCTTTGTCTCATTTGCACTAAATAATTATTAAAAATAAGTATGGCACCCAATAATTCACGAGGGCACATATAGTTCTTCTTTCTTATATCTACGGACAATTATAGGAAATAAGTATGTTTTATGGTTCTTGGGATTTAGATATAGCATATAAATGGAGGGGTGAGGTCAAAGGTTTGATCTTTATTTTGTCACAATTTATGTGAAAATTATTCAATATGGACAAATGGGCATGGATGGAAACAGATTTGGGTCTTAGGGATTTATAAAGAGGTTAGAGATAGAATAAAGATTGATGATGGACTTTGTTTCGCCCTTAACTCAGTGGTAAAGAATTGGCTTAAAGGAGTTATATGTCTTTATGTGTTTGTTGGTCGATGTCCATGTTATTCAAGTTTCCATTTGAGTCCGGTAGTTGCATAGAAATTCAATGCACTTTTTTTTTTTTCTTGTACCATTTCATGATCATATTTAACGATTTTTCACAAGTCACATTGCCTAGGGCCCTAGTTGCTTTAGTACTTCCTTATCCGCATGGGTGTTACTTACGCAACTCCTCCGCGTAAGCCGTCGCCCATTGTCACATGTTTGAAATAAAAAATAATTTTTTCGAGATAAAGTTGCAAGAGTCTCATGCATTGCGTTAGTCTTTAAAGAACTTAAAGAAGATAAAATATTACTAGGCTACAGAACTTGATATTACTCCTTCGGTCCCATGTTAGATGCCCATGTTTAGTTTTTGAAGTTTCTCCTTCGGTCCCTTGTTAGATGCCCATTTTTAGTTTTTAAAGTTTTAAAGTGGACATACAATTAATGTATTGTCTATTTGTACTTTTTAGATTAAGTATACATATTACCAAGAATGAAATGTTTTGAAAACATAAAGGGCAATGCTGGAAAAATAACATTTACTTTCTTTTATTTTTTAAGAGGACAACTAATTTGGAAACATATATCCAAAAATGGAATAATGGACTCTGTAACAAGTTCAACTCATATATACCCAATCACTCTCCTATTTGGATCCAATGTGAAACAAAACTCTCCCTTGTTATATTCTCCCCTACCTAAAATAGCAACGCCCTCGGGTCGGGCCACCTTGCCTACCCGGGTTGGCCA